TGAGGACGAGCGGAACCGCATCGAGGGTTTTCAGTTCCGCTTGGAGTAATTCCAGAGGCAATCTCGTTGCTCGTGGGCCGAAGTGATGCGTAACTTCCACACGTTGCTGACGGGCAGGGCGTTGGAGTGCACGTGCAGCAGCACCGACTGGACAGTTGGCATCAACTGCGCCGAGCGCTGATAGACAGATTCCAGAGCCATGGGACGGAACATCAACGGATGCATCAGCTGTTGCTGCGGGAGGCGATCAACCACTGCAAATGAAGGAAGTCCGAAAGCGGCCTCGAAATCCTTTCCGGGCTGGCTGCTGGAACTGTGGAGCCATGGACCAAAGTTTCCAGGATTTCGATAAGGAGCTGTCCAAGGTGCTCTGATTCCGCTGTGGAAAGGATGACGTTGTTGCGCCTAAATGTCCGAATTGTGCGGGAAACGGATGGCTGGGCGATCCAAAAGCGGGAGGATCTCACCCAGGAAGCCACTCCACACAGGAGCCAGAAAGGAAGCAGATAATGGATAAGAATAATAATACTGCTAGGTTAAGATATTTACCCTATGAAGAGCGCATGCGACATTATTTAGAGGTAAGAAACCGGATTTTCGAACAACACCACCTGAGTGGTATGCGCAAGGAATCCCGGACCGTCATGAAGGCCCGAGATCGGTTTAAGAAACGCCAGGAGAAGCGGAGAGTGGTCGTTGCGGCCGTCAAGCGGGGTGAGATCCACGATCCCTATGCCCAAATATCGGTTTTAGGCCAGCAGCTGACTGGGCTATTAGACACCGGAGCGAGAGTCAGTCTGCTCGGGAAAGGCAGCAGGAAGCTGGTGGACGCGTTGGGTGTCACGGTGCAAAAATATTTCTCGGTGGTGCGAATCGCTACTGGCGAGGATCGGTTGATTTTTGGCGAACGTTTGACCTGGCTTCGGCTGTAGTGGAAGATATCCCGGTTCAGGGCGTGAAGAATGCCGAAGAAGTTCACGCCAAGGAAATGGAGCACTACGCAGACCAGGAGGATGACGACGAGAAGAAGACGGACCCCGAATCCTGGACGTTATTCGGAGCCGACTCCCGGGAGCTGGATGAAATCAAGCAGAGGTTTCTCACCTTCGAGAAGGACGGCTTGGGAACCACTGGTCTAGGGAAGCAAATTTCTTCAAAGACCGGCCCTATCCGATGTCTCCGGCCAAGCAGAAGGTGGTCGAGGACGTGGTCGACAAGATGCTAGTCCTGGGAGTCATCAAGGAGAGCAAGAACCCGAAGCCTGGAAAGAACAGATTCTGCCTAGACGCCAGGAAACTGAACGACGTGACCGTAAAGGACGCTTACCCCTGCCTAGTATCGATGGAATCCTGTCCAGAATCGATCAAACGCACTTCATCTCCAGTGTGGATTTGAAGTTCACGTTCTGGCAGATCGAACTGGACGAGAAAAGCAAGGAGTTGACGGCATTCACGGTTCCTGGTCGACTCCTCTAACAATTCAGGGTGATGCCTTTCGGTCTATGCAATGCGGCACATAGGTTGGTGAGACTCATGGACCGAGTAATCTCAGCCGAAATCCGATCTAGTATGTTCGTCTACTTTGATGATCTGCTCATACTGGCTCCGGACATATAGACGCACTTCCGGTACCTACGACGATTCGCTGAATGCCCAAGGGAAGCAGGATTAACCATCGGTCTGAGAAAATCTAAAATCTGCTTCAATTCTTTGACTTACTTAGGGTTCGTCTTAGGTGGAGATCTGATCATTGATCCCGGTAGAGTGGCGGCAATCAGAAGGATGGGAGAGCCGAGGTCGCTGAAGGAGGTCCGTGTTCCTGGGTACCGCTGGCTGGTCAGGAATTTCGCGACGTTGGAAGCGCCGCTAACCGAACCCCTCAAGAAGAATAGGAACAACTTTTCTATGAGTCCGGAAGCGCAGCTGACAGTCGAAGCGTTGAAGGTGGCTCTAACCACGGCAGCGCGCCGATTTCAAGCGGCACCTATACATCCAGTATAAGCCGTTTTTTTTCCAAAAGAACGTGGACAACCAGGAGCAGCCGATAGCATTCTTCTCGGCAATGATGAACAGGCACCAGGTGAATTATACCGTCACCGAAAAATAGTGTCTTGCAGCGCTCCTGCCGTTCCGGAAGTTCCGACCGTATGTGGAAGGCATATCATTTACATGCATCACCGATCACGCCAGGTTAAAATGGTTGAAGATGGATCTTTCGGGGCGCCTGGCCAGGTGGTCTCTGCAGCTCCAGGGATTCCACTTCACCATTGAGCACCGGAAAGGCAGCGAGAACGTGGTGACAGACACGCTTAAGGGGGTAAGAGGAGATTGCAGCTGGGTTTTGAAACCACCGAGTTTGCTGGAGATGAGTACTAGAAGTTAGTCCGAGGTATTTTAGTTAACAAGGATAACTTACCGGATCTTAGGATAGAGGACGGGCTCATCTTCAAGCGAACCTCAACTTTGGACGACGAGGTGGTCGGATCGGCGTGGGAGCTATGGAGTTTGACCCACAGCCTTGCTGAGCGAGCCCATACAGACCCAAAGGCAGCTCACAGCGGAATGGGAAGGACTCTGGAAACTCTTCGGCGGGATGGTAGTGCTGATGCGTGAATTTGTCCGAAGATGCCAGGTCTGCAAGGAGTCGAAGGCGCCGAATCACCGGATGATGGTCGGGATCGGTGTTCGAGTACAGACAGAGCGGCTATTCCAGAAGCTGTAAATCGACTTCCTTGGCAGGTACAGGTCGAAGAAAGGACATGCCTGGATTTTCATCGTGGAGGACCACTTTTCCAAGTACACGTTCCTGAGGGCCATGAGGGAAGCGAGTCTCGAACGATGTGGATTTCCTTATCAACAAGGTCTTCTACAATTTCGGGGTTCCAAAGATCGTGCCTCGGACAATGGGCGACAGTTTGAGTCGAGGATCTTCGATCGACACTTGAAGACACCGATATACTCTCCGAGTCGTGCAGGAGAAGGTCCGAAAGTGTCTAGAAACCTCATATGATCGCAGTCGACAACGTTACGGCCAGAGGGCCAAAGTGTTCGCTGCAAGGCCAGGTCAGGAGGAACTTTGTCGCCAGAACTTCGTCCTCACCGACTTCGGGAAGCAATTTAACGCCAAGTTTGCTAAGAAGTTCCTGAAGCCCAGGGTGGTGAAGGCAATAGGCAAAAACGCATACGAGCTGGAGGGCAGGAGTTTGGGTGTGTACCACGCCAAGAATATCCGCGTGTAACCTGTAAGGGGGAGCACAAAGTACACATGGACAAGACAACTGGAGATATTCTACTTCCCGTAAGACGTGGGCCCCGCGTTGGGCATCGTTCTGAACTGCGCTGGAGATACCGATCCAAATGCTCCCAATGATTCTGCTGAAACGCCGGAATCCAATAGGATCTTTCCAAATCCTTGGGTGGTGTTGCATTTCGAGTTGAAACGGGCTAGAGGATCGATAGCAGAAGGCTAGGTAGGACCGGGGGTGAGCAAATTTGAGCGAACCGGGAAATTTTGATTAGGATTAAGAGAAAGGGTTCTTACCCTTTCTCTCGGCTGAGGCACCTAAGCGAAAGAAGAAATATCGGTGTTGGAGGTATAGAAAGGGAGGTACAGGATCCCGTTTTTCCTGTACCTGTACCTCCCTTTCTGAAAAGGTTGAGACAAAACGTGCGCGGCAAGAAAATGCGGGAACCGTGAACAGACTTTTTATAAATATTAAATACTAGCTAACTCTAATATCGATAGGAACTATTGTATAGCATTAGGAGTTATCGAGATATCGAATGTGTAATAAGATCGAAGAAGAAAAATAGGACGGAAGATCGAGTTCAAGAAAGAAAAACAACGTGAATAAAAAAAATCACTAAATATTGTTACAATTTTATTAAAAATAAGAATTATTGCCTGCTTTCATTTCAGTCACCTATAAATATTATACTAACAGTTCTACATTCACCGTTTTGCATATCCCTCTATATGTACTGATCCTTTGTATGGCAGCTATAAGTAAAAGTTTGCCGATTTTAATTAAATTAAAACGGAAATTCTAGAAATTCAAATTAGAGGAAAATCTGTTGAAAACTGAAAAAGTTATTATTTTTAATTGTATTAATTTCTCGATCGTTCCTATGTCAGCTATATGATATAGTAGACTGTTTTTTTTTTTTTTCAATTTTAAACAAAGTTGTAGAATAATATAAAATAGCTATGTCTCAAAATTTGATGAAAAATGTTGAAAACTGATAAAGTTTTTTTTGTAAATATTGTTCGATCGCTCCCATGGCAACATTTTCCGACATATACATATATGTGTCAGAGTATATAGAAGACTAACTGCAAAGATTCATTCAGATAGCTTAAAAACTGAGAGACTAGTTTGCGTTAAAACGGACAGACGGACGGATAGACGAATATGGCTAGATCTATTCGGCTGAGATGATCCCTTCACTGCCTTGCAAACTGCAAATGGGGGTGATGGTAAATCAATTAGGACTGGAGTTTTTCCAAACAGTAGCCTTCGCGTCTTCACAAAATTTTACTTAAAATTCCGATGTAGTAAACTAGCGATTTAGCAATTTGTCGAATAGCGATTTAATAAACCAGATTTGACAGGCCGTTTCCAAATGAACATTTGTTTCTGTCTTCTTCTGTATGTCTCTGAGCAAAATTTATAAATTCCTTTCGAAATAATATTATATGATATTGTAGTGACAGAGATGGAAAACTTTTGGGTTATACTTCTTGGTTTTGACACGAATTTAAATGGAGTTTCGCATATAATTTTAATATGTAGTTGAATAGGTATTTTAAGATATTGAAAGCTACCATACCGATTTACATACCAATCAATCATTAATTTGTATTTTATTAATGGCCAACTAAATCATTATCCGTCACATAATTTGCTATAAAAAGAAAGATGCTGTTGTAACCTTTATCTTACCTCGAGCTGCTTTTTTGTTTGGTTATATAATCTTCCACCTATCTTTATCCTTTTTCAGGCGATTATCTGCATGGGAAATATGAACAAGCAACGAAAGTTAAAATTAACAAACGTGGGCGGCTTCAGGTAATAGATTCGCAATTTACCGTGCCCACAGCCCATGACCTTATTTATTTGGATGAAAGTCCGGACTGGTGTCGAACTAGTCACCCGTTACAATGGCCAGGTAAGTTTATTAAATATATTTTGGAAGTCACTTAAGTTATATTTTCGAAAGGTACTCATGGACGTGTTTGCCGTAAAAACTCATCTGGACTAGAAAGCTGTGCCATACTATGCTGTGGCCGGGGCTATAATACAAAGAATATTATAGTTAACGATCGCTGCAATTGCAAGTTCCACTGGTGTTGCCAGGTTAAATGTCAAGTTTGTACAAAAGTACTCGAAGTGCACACATGTAAATAAAAATTATGAAGGCATTAATATTTACATGTCAAAATTATTACGGCAGCCAGTACATAAGATATCTAAAATAGAGGAAAAAAATTGGCTTCCTAGTATGCAAAAATATTTTATATTTTATTATCTCATAGGTTAAGAAAAATTATAATAGAATAAGTAACAGTTTATGTATTCTAGATTAACCACTCTTTGCCATATCTTGCAGCTTTGGAAGTTTGTTTTATTTACTGGAGTATATAATGGGCTGATTGTCTCCACATCGCTGACTCCAAAGTATATATAAAGCCTTTATAATAATAATAATAAATTAATTAAATAAAAATAATCACGTTTTTAAGGAGAATAAGTAACTTAAAATGTATGTGGAAATATTATTTAGATTGCGAAACATTTATTTAACATTAAACTCTGATAATTTGTTTTTCTTAAAATAATTCCAAGATTTTTATGTTTTTAATTTAATTTTTAAAATCGAAACTCCATTTCAATACATTATACTCCCTTTCATTGCCAGAGATCATATATTAATTTCGAAAACAATGATATTAAAATATAGAAAATAGATAAATATCTCTTGAATTGATACTAGATCTAGTGTTAAATATAGATATAAGTAGATTCAATCAACAGCCTAAGCTCATAAAATTTACTTTTGTAAGCGTATAAGATAAGGATATTATATATATTATTATAAAGTGTCCATGGACTGCTAGGGCATTCCAGTTCAAAAAGTGATTTATCTGCTTTTACGTGTAGCATTATATTAAGTTGAATAATACAACTTGTAAGGATGGACATAAATGGAATAATTTTATTTAGAAACCAATTTTTACTGTTACAGGTTGAATAAGGTTTGTTTTATTTTTTTTTTAATATTTGCTTGAATAGACAACGTTTGGTAGTAAGCTGATGTATCAGTAACGTGCAGACTTAACTACATGGACGGTTTTAAATGTAAGTATACCTTTCGGACCAGTAGTGCCTGCCAAGGCTTAGCTTTATTACGAAAATCTTTTTGGATTTACCTTTATAGTATTAAAGATCAAACTATACAAATGTCCGAATTGGGGCGGATGTTTATGTCTTCCAAAAAAATGCGGATCGTATACGAACGGTCCAGGCGGACTGATGAAATCAAACCTTAGCCTAAAAGGTATAGAAGTGCATCACCAGACACGGCGACGAAAAATTTCCAGTAGCCGGGTACAAAACTGTGAATACAGTCAAAGGAATCCAGTGAACCCAAACAGAAAAATCTGATGACCGCCGCCGCTTATTCAAAGCTAATTTTTGAAGGAGTTCGGTATACGCAATCAGCTAGGCACCCTCAATGCCATCACGTCAGGCGAGCTTGGGAACCGCTCGTCTCCGATCTTCTTTATTTTTCCGCTCTCCCCATGCTCATGGAGTTACGTATGTGGGAGCGCGGAGTTAGTCTGTAAGCTACCCAGTCGGACTTTTTAGCCAAATTCATGCTAACTTTCATGCTTACCCGTTCGGTGGGTAGAACCCACCGTTTATTTAAACCCAGTTGGAATTTTAAGCCAAATTCAAGCTAATTTTCATGCTTACCCGTTCGGTGGGTAGGACCCAAGTTTTTTCTCAAAAAATTGACCGTTTTTAAAAAACTATTTCGTGCTCGAGCTGTTCCGCATTCCCCGTTGGGTCGCGTTCCTGCCAGAACTGAAGGTAGAGCATCATGGGTTCCGTGACGCTTCTCAGAAAGCGTATGAAGCTGCAATCTACGTTCGCGTTAAAGTTGGAACCACGATAATGATGAACCTGATCACGGCAAAGGCGAGAGTAGCATCAGTCAAGACGGTTTTGCTCCCGAGGCTAGAATTGTGCAAAGCCTTGCTGCTGTCCGAAGTGGCCGCCGCTTTATAATTAATTTAATTTTTTGTTTTCAGTGCTGCTTCCGAACTAAACAATTTCGTAAATTTTTTACAAGAGTCAACACGGCGACCAATGCCACAATTCCTACCGCCGTCAGCTCTGCGTGAGATGTCCCTGTATTTACTGCTTGGCCATGTACCTGTACATTTTGCCCTGCCTCAAGAAAATAAAAGCAAGGGATTCCAAGGTACCAAGTCTCTTAGCCGTTGGGATGCCAGACTCCAAGCTATTCATCCCAACGATGTTCAGCTTTCGCTTGAGCTTTCCGCCCAAAGACTCCCAAACGGCAAAGAGCCGCTGACAGATGGCATACTCGGCGGACTAGAAGAAGACAAACCAGTCCCCCGTAAAGGCCCTCATTGAGGCCTGTGTGAGGTGCTCGGATAGCTCTTTAACCGCTGGCTCGAGGTTGACGAAGAAAAAGTCCATGATCTTGCCTCGTTCACCTCGCCATGATAAAGGATGGAAATTCCTCATCTGAAGAACACCAGTGTGGGATCTTTTCTGGGATGGTAGATGGACACCAGGTTGCTGTCCGCCGACTGGACAACAATGGTGGACAAAGTTTCCTTCAGCTGCGGATGTATCTTCGAGACCACATTTTCATACTTCTTTGAGTACGAATTGCGCTTGCAATTTTTTTTGTTCGTGGTGAATAAAACCACAACGTTGCTTTCGCGGTTTAGGAGTTGAATCAAGTCGGTGTCGTCCACAGAGGTAAGTCGTCGTCGTCACAGGTAAGAGGAATCTAAGGTTTGTGTCCCAAAGAGGTGCCCTCGACAAGTTTAGTCGGATAATGGGAAAACCTTTGTTGTTGCAGCAGCTGCGCTGTCCCGCGATTTTTTTCAAGCACTGTAGAAGTCAGTGACTCGGTCCTTGACCCACTTCCGCTTTTCCTAGGCACTTTTTCGCCGCCCGGGCACTCTCCTATCCATGCGGTCGTCGACAGCGTGTATTTCTGGTAACCTTTTCGCAAATATTTTTTAATTTTGAAAGCCCAGACTTTTCACTTTTCCAACTTGAAGTGCTCTTAGCGTCAAACTTTCCAGAAGCGATTGTGTAGTTGTTTGAATCTGACCGCCAGCATTAAATTTGGCGCACATATGTGTACTAATGCACTTGCAACGCTCTTCGTTTCTTGATTTGATTATAGTTCTTATGTCGCAGAATTTTAGTTTGTTGTTGTTTGCGGGCATTTGGTCACAAAAATGGGAGCATACAAAGACATATAGCTACAGAGTGCACACAGCAACATATTAAGCCGTCATGTATATACTTACATTCGAATGCAAATGAAAACAAAGGTTAAAGGCATTTCGGCCAGCCTTTTTAGCTTTGCGTTTTCAAAGTAAAAAGTAATAGGCTGCTTCGTGCCCTGTTAAGCGGCCAGATTGTTGTCTTATTTTTAATTTTTTTTTGACATGCTCAAAAAATGTTTGATCCAGACTCTGTGATTCACTTGATAAATTTTTTAAACTTGTTATTTGATTCCGCAGACATCGATGGAAGGACTAGTAAAGCTTAAAATTTCCGCACCTTTCATGGATAATAATATGAAACTAAATTGAGGTTCCCGCGATCCAGCATATATAACCAAGAACATTTATTGCGTCTGCGCTTAGCTCAAATTAGGCAGTATTTTGTGATGCGAGATTATTTGCCGAACTGCTTTCGATTTAGAGAGGTATAGAATTCGCACCTTTCTCTTAATTGTTTGTTCAATGGGCAGGCATAGTCTGTAGTAATGAAAGTGGACTAACTGCGGATAGTTTCACATGAAGCACCACTCAATATTGCATATGAATCACGACCCATTTGCACCATTTTTATTTATTTTTATTTCCATGTTCCGACCCGCTCTTGAGCTCTCAGGCATTACCATCTACATTATAAACACTATTCTTAATGCTTATACTCATAATCTTAAACCTGATCACCATTAAACTCTAAACTAAAAACCTACTACGTGTTGCTTCCAACTGCTATTCTGTACGTAAGAAATAGAACTGAGATATTTATGCCTTGGGAAGCAATCATAAATTCAGCGTCTCAGTTAAACTTCATAACATCTTACCACCACACAAGCTAAATTTAAATCATAGAAAATCCCGAGTGATCCCAAGGATCACTGAATTTCAGCCTCATTTCAATATAGATGCAACAGCTTGGAGGACTCCACTTAACATTTCGTTTGCTGATCCTTATTTCAACCAATCAACGAATTGTCCTTTAATTGGCATTGGTATGTTTTTCGAAATAATTGCTACGAAACCAATTCAGTTGAATAAATCTGTTTTGTCTGCCATTGTCATGGATCCTTCTGATGATTCTGCGGATGCCAAACTTGCTGCCATAAAAAAACGATTTCGAAAAATTCAGGGCTTCTGTTCGGCAAAAACCATTTTTGTTGCCTGAAGACTTGCGGTGCAAATCATCATTCCGTACATAAACAGAAAAGAACGATACCTTCTGGTAGCTTTCTGAGCGACTTTCTTCTTGAAGGTCCAAAAATGTAGTAAACCATATACTACTTCGCTTTACAATTTTTAAAATAACTCACGAATGAGTTGAGTGTTTTAGTTTATTTTTTAATTTTCTCAATTACCTACATCTCATCGACCTAGCAATCGGATTGCATTGTTAACAATAGCGAAATTCGTAATGCGATTACTGGCTTTCGTCGGATCTCAATAGATATTTCAAACTGCAACTTATCTTCGTTAAGTCGAACATAAATAGAACATTCCAAGCTTAAAATTTGCCCTTTTGCCAAGTCAATGTTCCGTTTACACGTCTCAGCACAAGAGCAGCACTTTGCTTTGCTTTGAAACACCCACATTCGTTTCAGTTTGGATTAGGCAACTATTCACTATTCCAAAATACCATAGCTCCAAGTAGCTAGAGAGACCATGTGAGAAAGGAACAAGTGAAAATTTAAAACATGCAACATTAAGCTCAGGAGCATCGTGTACCTGTAACTTTAACCCTTTAGTGGACGATGATGCACTACGGTCAGTAAATTCAAGTGGCCCGTATGACACCAAGCACAATCCTGTTTGGGTAAGTTGTTGCAGGCGCAAAAGGAAATGTAAAGAAATAAGCTACCGGCGTGCTAACAGGTTGTTTG